ATTTGCCCAGCCTTGGTTTGAACTTGTGGTACTCATTTTAACCTCCAAGAATGCAGAATTACTGGCTTGCACCACCAGGCCTGGCTGCTACTCCCACTTTTTTGTTTCTGTTTTTTTCACTAGTGTTAGCATGGTATAAGTACTTCTTGGCTCACATGAAGTTACACTCAGGTAAAGTCAGTGTAAGTTGAAAATAAGTAAAAAATGTGTTAATGCTCCTGATTTACCACACAACATAGCTTAGCAACACAGTCCACTGTAGTGTCTGTTGTTTATCCTTATGATTATGTGGCTGACTGTGATTGTGTGACTAGAAGCTGCTGTGTACTCCCGCTGCCCGACAGAGTAAAAGAGTATTGTACTACATACTGCTAGCCCAGGAAAAGATCATATTTGAAACACGGTTTCTTCTACTGAATGTGATCAAAAGTTGAAAAATTTTAAATCAAACTTTTTAAGTTGGAATCATCTGTATATAGTTGACTGTTCCTTTAATCTATATTTTTGTAGACAATCTGTAATTGAGTGTTATTTTTTATCTAGTTTGACAATGTCTTTTAATTGGTGTAGTGGTATTTAGACATTAATATTTACAGTGATTATTAGTATAGTTGAATTACTTTTTACCATATTTGCTACTGTTTTGTATTTGATATCTTTTTCCTGGTTTTTCTTCCTTTTCCTTTGCTTCTTGTGGTTTTAATTGAGCATTTTATCTCCTTTCTTAGCATATAGTTATACTTTTAAAAATAATATATTTCATTGGTTTCTCTAGTTTGCAGTGTTTACATCCAATCCAAGTCTACTTTCAAATAATGTGATGCTACATAGTTAATAAAGATACCTTATAATAAATATATCTTTTCTTCCATCCCTTGTATCATTGCTGTTATTCATTTATATACAATCTAAAGAATATGTAAGCATATATAATAATAACTTTATCTGTTAGGTCAATTAAGAATAAGTTGTTTTCCCTTCAGATAGCCTTTTAAGTTTTTTCCTTTATGTATATCCAAGTTTCTGACCTGCACCATTTCCACCTCTGTGTTTTTTAACTTTTGCTTTTTTCATTAGTACCTGCTCATGATACCCAACGAATATATTCTTGGGAAGTTGTTACATACATGTTGCATCTTAGTTCTTTTTATTTCCCCTTCCCTCCTTTTCCTCCATCTGCAGATCCTTTTCTCATCTGTAGAAGGTCTGCCTCCCTGTTTTCTATTGTCTTTCTTTTATTTTGCTCTTCGCATGTAAGAGAAACCATTTAGTCTTCTGTGTCTGATTTGTTTCACTTAGCATTATGGTCTCAAGATCCTTCCATTCTCCTACAAATAACTCAGATTTATCCTTTATAGCTGAGTAGTACTCCATTGTACTCATTTTCTTTATTCATTTATCTGTTGATGGACATGTAGACTATTTCTAAGATTTAGCTATTGTGAGTCATGCTGCTATAAACATGGGTAGGAAAATATCACTGCAGTACGGTGTCTTTAACTCTTTTGGGAAGATACACAGGAGAAGCATAGCAATTTCTGTTTTTAGTTTGTTGAGAAATCTCCAAAGTGATTGTACTATTAATTTTTTTAAAGACATTATAAATGGGGTTGATTTCCTGATTTCTGTCTCAGTGGGCTCGTTGTTGGTATTCAGGAACACTGTGTATTTATTTTGTATCCTGCCACTTTGTAGAATTTATTAGTTCTAGGAATCTTTTAGTGGACTTTTAAAAATCTTTTACGTAGGGAATCGGGGCATCTACAAATAATGTTAGTTTGACTTCTGTGTGAAGTCCTTTTTAGTTTTATTTTGCAAGACAGGTGTTGGTAACATTGCCTCAAGTTTTGTTTGAGAATGGATTTGTCACTTATTTATTTGTGTGTATAATGCTGGCAGTTGAATTCAGGGCCTTTCACAGGCTAGGCAAACACTACCACTGAGTTGCATCCTCGGCCTGTTTTTCACTTTTGAAGAATACTTTTGAAGGGTATGGGATTCTAAGTTGGGAGTTATTTTCTTCAGATTTTGCAAATATTTCATCTCACCCTCTTCTTTCTTGCATGATTCTGAGAAGTCACATGTGTATTTACCTTTGTTCTGTTGATAAGTTTCTTTTGGCTTCTTTGACATTTTTTTCTTTACCTTTGATTTTCTGCAGTTGGACTATGTTGTGCTTAGGTGTCACTTTCTTGGCACTCATTCTGTTTGGTGTTCTGACCTCAAGAATCAGTGCTTGCTGTCTGATATTAATTTGGAGGAAATCTCATACATTAACACTTCAAGTGGTCCTTCTGCTTCTTACTCTTTTTTCCCCCTTCTGTTTTGTACTTATTCTACAATTCTTGGATAGCCTGTTCTTTGTCTATCTCCTTCCCGCCCTCTTCTTTTTCCTTTGCTTTTCAGTTTAGAAGATTCTGTTGACGTACCTTTAGGCCCAGAGAATCTTTCCCATGTCCTGTCTGATCATCCAGTCTACTAATGAGTCCTTCAGAGCCATTTTTTAATTCATTTACATAATTTTTTATTTCTAGCATTCCTTTTTTAATTTTAATTTTTTATAGAGGTACTGGGGATCAAACCCAGGGTTTCACACATTAGGCGAGTGCTCTACCACTGAGCTATACTGAAGCCTTAAAAAATTTTTTTTTGAGACAGGTCTTGCTAAGTTACTCAGGTTGTCCTTGAACTCAGCCACCTGAGGAGCTGAGGTTAGAGCTGTGCTGGTTCATTCTTTATTCTTTCTTAGAATTTTTATTGCTTTGCTTGCATTATTGCTGTTTTACATTGCTTACTTTTTCCTCCACTTCATAATGGGAATTGAACCATTTTGCTCTGGGCCTTTGCTCTGGGCTACAACCCTAACCCTTTGTTTTTATTTTTTACTTGAGACAGAGTCTCACTAAATTGCTCAGGTTGGACTCAGACTTGGAATCCTGCTGCCTCAGCATCTCAGAGTGCTGGGATTATGGATCTGTGCTACCACTCTTTAGCTCTATTGTCTACTTTTCCCATCACAGCCTTAGCATATTACTAGTAGTTTTAAAAATTCTGGAACTGATAATTCTAACCCCCCCTCGCATATATCAGTCTGGTTTTAATGCTTGTTGTCTTTTCAAACTGTTTTTGCCTTTCAGTGTGATTTATTTTTCTTATTTTTGCTAAGAACCAAGCATGATGTACTGGGTAACAGGTGCTTCATCCTCTCGGGGACGCTAACTCACCCTTGATAATGTATAGTAAGGCTTCACTCAGGGTTTTGGTGAATGAGCTAGCCTGTGGACTGTGAGCTTCCTACCTCCTTCTCAGTCTTCCCCCCATTCAGGTGAGATGGGAGAGGGGGCTATAGCTGGGTATTTCTCTGCTCAGGTAGCAGACAAGAGCAGGTGGGAGCTGGGCATACCCCTTACTTTAGGTGGGTTAATGTCTCTGGCTGTGTTTAGACCTTAGTGAAATTGTTCTCTTAAGGGCAGACCTTGTAAAACGCAGAGTGCTCTGGTATATTTTCACATGGTTTCTTTTCTCCCTCTCCTGACTGAAGGTAGCAGAAGGGAATTTTTCTCCTGTATATACTATGAGAACCTTGTCTTGGTCCTGGGTAAAATTCACAGAGCTATGGATTTCCCGTGATTTGGTCCGCCTGTAGTTTTAACTCTCAACGCTTGTCTTCACTGAGCCATCAACAATTTCTCAATCGAATTTAGGTTTTGCAACCAGGTTGTGGTTGCTGTGGAGATTGCTGACTGCACGTTGTGATTCTCTGCATCTGCTTGTCTCTAGTTCTTGGGTTGGGGTTTGTTCTGTAAGCTCCCTTCCCTGGAGGAGCTAAGAGGAATATGTGCTTTTTTACCATGTTCAGCTTTTTACTTGTTTGGATAGAGTGATGACTTCTGAGCTCTGTTCATGCCCAATTGGAAACCAGAGGGACTTCCTTTATTTTTGTGCCTAGGTCTCCACTATGCCTGGGGCCTATTCATCCAGAAAAGCTTTGCTTGACCCCCAGAAAACAAACCTTTACTTTCCACTCTTCTGGTCTGTGAGAGCAGCAATAGTTGCTAGTGTGCTCTGGCGAGGAAGGCAGAGTAGTGGTGCAGGGCCGACCTACATTTCAAAGTACTGTTACTGTTCCTCCCCAGTGTTAATCCTCTTCCTTCACTTTTACTTCCATTATTTCTGCTACCACTTTGAACCTTCTGAGAATTAAGTGGTATAGAGCAGGCTTGTTCTTAAGTTTATTTTTTTCTTAGTGCAGTTACATGATTCTCTTAGGTCTTCTATGTAAGTTACCATATATATTTATATTGCTATAAAACTTTTAAGATACAGCGGTTGTTAATCACTTCTGATTTTTACCTTGTCCTTATGTGTTTATCTTTTTTTTTTTTTAACCTTTTAAAATTCAGGAAGGAAGCTGAATTAGATGATTGGATACAGTATGCCGTAGTTCTTTTGATTTTTTTAATATATCAAGTTTTTAAGGAAAAATTTTCAAGCTTGATTTTTCTTTCCTTGTATCCTCTCTTCTCATTGTCAATCATTCTTGTTTTGTCTTTTTGTTTTTTTCAGACAGGGTCTCACTATGTAGTTGAGACTGACCTCGAACTCACTATGTAGCCCAGGCTGGTCTCGAACTCACAGTGATCCGCCTGCCTCAGCCTCTGGGGTGTTGGGATTACAGGCGTGCGCCACCATGCCCGGCTCATTGTCAATAAAATAAGCAATTCTAGCTAAATAATTAATTGCCTGATAGAGATCTGTGCCTAACTAAAAATTCAGTCCCAAAACAGCTGAAGTGTGAATGGGGGAAAATTGTGATAGATAATAGTGTGCTCCTTCTCCCTTTAAAGACAGATATGAAAGTCTTATCAACCGGACTGCTGGCAACTATTTGGGTTTTTATTAAAGGTTAGTTAAACTACACCTTGGTGATTTGAATGTAGTTACAGGTACTGTGAAGATCTGAAAAATAATATTTTTGTAATTCCTCTTGCAATCTACAGAGAAAGCAACCAGCGAGATGAACACTGCCGAGGACTGGGGCCTCATCCTGGATATTTGCGATAAGGTCGGCCAATCCCGCACTGGGTAAGTGTTCTAGGTTTCAAAGGATGGAGGAAAGGATCAGGAGGTAAAGCATGCTACATGCACAGTTTAGTTTAAAAGGGGAGTGTTTTTACAAGAACATTTTAAGAGTCATCTATTTATGTTACCCCTTAAAGAGTAAAGAGTTGGTACTTATTAACCACATTCTTTTATTATTTTCCTTCTGTGAAATCTCTCTCTTCCCATTATTGTTTCCTCAAGTTTTCTTACCAAGTTTTGTGGTTATGTCTGAGTTTTTTCCAACTCGATTACTGACTATTGTAAGACACAAAGTACAGAGCTTTCCAGATGGCACAGAAGGGAATTAACAGGTTTGCATGTGATTCCTGCTCTCCTAGGATAATAGTGTTCAGCCATTAGCGGTCTTATTTACCCTTTTGTGCCACAAATAGTATTGTTTCATTTGGGTCCTTGATATGAAAAAGATTAGAAGCAGTGTTGTGTTGTACTTGATTCTTTTTAGTGGTAATATAACCATCTCCTCCGTACCTTCTTTGGCTGGTCCTCTCCTCGTACATCTAAATGTTCCTTAAACTTTCCTTAGTCCATTTTTCATAATACTTTTTCTTCTGATATCTTAAAACTCTCAGTTGTCCTTATGGGAGAAATCTGGTTTTCAGTTCTGACTCTTCTTGTGGACAAGACATCATTTTTAGATTTCATAGTATATAATCCTTAATCTCACTATATAGAAAGCTGAACTCCTGTGCTGTTTTGCTTTAAACCTGCTTTCCATTCCTTGTTTCCTGTTGCTGTTAGTGACAGGATGATTTTCTTTATATGTAAAGCCTCAGAATCACCTCCTATTTATTTTGTTAATAAATTCTTTCACTCTTCAGAATGCTTCTCAAAATGTTAATTCCAGAGTACCCTTAATTCTTCAGCCTGTACTGTCAGGGGCAGGCAGCTTGTCTTCAGGGCTCGTGTACCCCTTCACTCTGGCTTTTATGATCCTCGTTGTGCTCCCTGTATGGTTCCCGACCACTCAGACATGGCTCCAATATTACCTTTGTTATCTTCACATTTTCTTATATTAAGCCTTGTCCTTTCTGGTCCAGTTAATTAATTTGATTAGAATTTGAATAACTGCTGTGTTATTCAAATAACTACTACATATCCATTCCTCTTTCTCTGTTTTTATTTCAACTTTCTTTACCTTGCCTGGAGTGGCAGATTAACATTCTGGCATTTTTTTCCATTTTCATCTCTTTTATGTCTGATGCTTGTATCCACTTGCCATGTAACAGCTAGCTATGTTCACATTATTCTCCTATCTTCCATGATGGGTTCAGTCACAATTTCTTAGCCCTTTGAGTTATTTTCCATTCATGTCAACTCATTTACTTGAGTTGCCAGTGCTTCTCTACCTTAGTTTACCCCACCAGAAGTACTGGGAAATGAACCCAGGGCCTTCACATTGAGCTGTATCCCCTATCCTTTTTTATTCTGAGACAGGGTCTCACTAAGTCTGTAAGTTGTGTAGGTTGAGCTTGAACTTGCAATTAATTCTCTTGCCTCAGTCTCCCAGGGTGCTAGTATTACAGGCATGGGCCAACGGTTCTTTAATTTTTTCTCTGTGGATATTTTCCGCTATCATTTCTTATCTCTGTGACTTAAATGTTTTCGGAACCAATTTAGGTGTTATTTCCCTTAAGAAGCCTCTGCTTATCCCTTTACTGACATCAAGTTTCTCTGAACCTTCAAAACACTGTCAATGACATTCTTAGGGCTGGGATGTAGCTCAGTGGTAGAGTGTATGCTTAGCGTGTACGAGGCATTGGATTCAACACCCCCCCCCAGGTTTCCTGTTTATGCATTGCCCTGTATTTCAGTAATTTATATGTAGTAAACTTAGATTTGTAGAGTGAACAGTTCACCAAATTCTGTGGTATAGAGGAAAAAGGCAAATGACTTAGTGATTGAGACTGTGGACTCTGGAATGAGACAAGGTTCAAATTCTGGCTGTAACCACTGAGCCATGTCACATTGGGTAAGTAACTTGCCTTTCTGGGCCTTACTTTCCTAGTTTATCCCATAAAATAGTATCTTTTTCAAAGGGGAATTGCTGTGACTGTGAGCTTAATTAATAGGTAGTGTTTAGAGTGGAACATGGCACGTGCTACTCTGGCCCTTTAAAAAATTTTAAATTTTTATTATGTATGTATGTATGTTTTGTACCTGGGATTGAACTCCGAACCTTGTGCTTGCAAGGCAGGCACAGTGCCACTGAGCTAAATCCTCAGCAATATTATTATTATTATTTTTTTGGTTTCTGGCCACTTTTGACTAGTCTTATTTTGTGATGGTTTTTCTGTTAAGGCTTCGATGTCAGCCAAGATCCATTTTCTATATAGTTTTGAGGTAGAACTTTATCAAGTATTTTAAGTCTTCATCTCGCTCGCTTAGTTTTCATTTTTATCTTTACTTTGGTGTTCCTTGTTTTATAGACACTTTTTAATAATACCTTGATGAGTTGCTTGAAATCAAAAGACAAACTCCCTTTCCTTATTAGAAATATTCCATAGTTTTCTACTTTAAAAAATAAATTTGTAATGCATCTGAAATTCAGTATAGTGTATAGTAAAGGTGTAGAAGTCAGTTCATTTTTCTGCATGTTAACATTATACCAGAACTATTTATTATGTATTCATTTTCTTATTTTATGTTTCCTCACATTTGAAATTAACTGATTTATAGCATTTTAAAAAGTGTTTTTTGTTTGTCTGTGTTTTTTGTTTTTATCCCGCATCAGTAGATTTAGAGACATGGTCGTTTTTTTTAACTTTTTTCAAATTTAGTTTTAGTCCAAATACTTCTTCTCAGGGTTTTTTTTTTTAACATTTGAGTTCCCATTTGGGGATTTTACTTAAGATTATACTACATCTTTGAACTTACTTAGGATTTTCAAATTTAGTAATCCAAGGAATAATGAGTGGTTCTCTGTGTACTTTGAATGAATATTTTCTCTCTTTTCCTTTTTTCCTTCCTTCTCTTCTTTTTTGCTTCTGCTTGTTTTCCTCCTTTGTTAGTAGTCCTTAGTTCTTTTAATTCCCCACTAATTTCCAGGTATTTATTTGTTTATGTAAATGGGTATCACTTTATAGCTCTTATTATGGGTTGTTTGAATAGTATTAAATAATATATATGCCACTTTAATATTATTGAGGTTTAAAATCTAAAGTCTGAATAGTATGTATTTTTTTAGTACTATTTTATATATGTACCCATTTTGATTTGGTTTTGGTTTTTTGATTGGACCTTGATATTCTCACTTAGGAAATGACATGCGTAAAGGTCACCTACATGACTTTCCTGCATTCTAGCCACTTTTGCTTTCCTAGGCTTTTTTCTCCATAAAAAAATAAAATAAAGCTATGATGGCATTGTTAGAAAGTAAAATATATTTATATTATATATTGAAACATTTTCCTTGACATAAAGGTTCATTTTTTCTTACTTTAATTTAAAATATCTTAATGTGTACCTAAAGTTACTATGCTTAAATAGCTAAACATTATGGAATTGCTTTATATAGTCCCAAATTAGCTAAGTAGTACAAAATTATTATTATTATTACTTTTTTTTTTTTGGTTTTTTGAGACAGGGTCTCACTATGTAGTTGAGACTGACCTGGAACTCACTGTGTAGGCCAGGCTGGTCTCAATTCACAGTGATCCTCGTGCCTCAGCCTCCTGAGTGCTGGGATTACAGGCATGCACCACCACACCTGGCTTTAATAGTACAAAATTATTAAGGATCTTTTCAGGTGAGCAATGAACTGCTTATAGTGGCATTCTTAATATACTGCTTCTTTTTAATTTATTTTTTTAATTGTGCTATTTATATATAAAATAAAATTTACCCTTTTAATTATTCTGAAATGATTCAGTAGCATTTAGTGCATTCACACTGCTGTGCAGGTATCATCACTATCCATCTCTGTAATTTGTTTTATCATCTCAAGTTGAAATGCTGTACTCACAGACAAATAACTTCTTTTCCCCTTCCTGCCATCCCCGTCACCATGTGTAATTTTGGTTTTTATCTTTTAAATCAAACTTAAGATTAGGGTTAAGATGGATAGTTCATGGCGATCTGGTTTGAGATCTAGGAAGCTGGATAGATGTGTTTAGATATGGGTTGCTGACGGTAGCGGAAGAACATTGAACAGTGTTACTAGATGCGGGTGAGATCTTCTCGATGCCTGATGTGCTTTAGAGAAAATTGAGATGTGAGATTGGGGCACGATGGGGCATCAGTCCTCCTGACAGATTCAGGTCGGGAGTTTGAAGGAGGGAGAGGCTGTGGATCGAATGTATCGTACACGTAATTGTATGTTAGGTGACAGTCTAGATTTACTGTTCCCATTTGCTGTTAGCTTGAAACTTTATAGAGTAAAGAGATGTATTTAAGAGCACAGATTCAGAGCTGGTAGAAGGATGTTAGGAAATGCATTTTCTTTCCATAATTTTGTATATCCTAATTAAACTGATTTGTACTATGAAGAATTATTAAAGTATAAATAAAATGATTATCCCTTTCCTCTTTTGAAGCCATCTGTCTTATATTTCTGAAGTTTGGAAAATATTCTAAGGTTTTAAGAGGGGAAAAAAGAGCCATGATTGTGCAATTTCATTTAGTCAGAAATTTCATTTAGTCATTTCTATGACCTAGAAACATTACTCCCAGTGTTGCTGTGAAAAATCTGTCATTAAATCTTTAAGTGAACTTTTCTATTCCTTAAAGCCTCCACATGCATGTGTACATATATATGTTTGTTGATTTTAAAAATACATATACTAATAGAAAGTATATACTGCTCCCCCCCAACCCTAATGTACTTTGCTTTAAAAAAAATAGGTAAATATTTTCATGGCTCAAAAATTATAACAATTTTAAAAGATGAAAGTTGACATCTATTTCTGTCTGTTTCTCTATTTCTCACTCTACTTACTCCCTATATGAAAGCAGTTTTCTTTTGT